TTAACCTCTAATGAAATAACAAAGTAAAAATGAGTATGAAAGAGATTTAAAATGTGAAATTTGTTACAAATTAGTAGTTTTTTTGGGTGAATAAAAATTTTTTGGGTGAATTCAAATTAGTAGTTATATATATGAAACATATTATGTAAAATTAATTTGTGTTATATATAAAAAAAATATTATGTAAATTAGTATTATATGTTATGTAAATTTTTGATAATTTGTTAGAATATTCTTCAAGCCGCCAATCCGTCCAAAACTACTCAAACCGCGATTTACCAATCCACTAATCTTTCAATCCGTTATTCAATTTGTAATTTTAATCTCAAACCGTCAGAACCGTACCGCGCACACCCCAATTTACAACAGCACTCTCATATTCATTCACAGAAACCCGTGCCAATCCAGAATAGCAATCCCATGTCTTCATTTCATCATCCTGTATCTTTTCATCCCATAAGTCACAGAACGATAAACTAATGACACTAATATGCAATCACTTGCTATCCTCTGACTTTTTTTGGAGTCATAGCGAATCTTAAATATGACACCTTTCATATATATATATTTTTTAAAAAATAAATAAATAAATAAATTTGATCAAAAGATTAGATATTAAATTTTGTTTTAAATTTTTACACTTAACAATGCTCGCAAAAAAGCTACTAAAATTTACTTAAATATATAACAAAGTTTATAATAATAAAAAAGACTAAAATACAAGCTGGAGTACCAAATACAAAATAAATTAAGTCTTCTATTCATTTTTTTTCTTTTTCTTTTTCTTTTTTTCGTGTCCAAATTGTACTTTCCAGGAATAGTGACACGTTTAATATAGTTTATCAAAAGTGATAACGTGATGCTAACTTAATCCTCAATTATTACAAATCAAATAATCAATGAAAAACTGTCTAAAAAATAATTAAAATCGTGTAATCGTAATATACAATATACATGATCAATGATCAAATAAATATTTAATCAAACAAAAATTAAAACTCATCTCTATTACAGAGTCTGTATCTTGAAACCCAACTTTATTTTACAAATTTAAGACTATCCATCATAGTTGAGCAATTTTTTTTTTTTTTAATAATGAAAAAATCAATACATAAAAAATTAAGAAATATGATAGTTCTTCAATTAGTTTTTAAAAAATTTAGATGAATGCTTCTAATTCTTTTTGTGGACAGAAACCAACTGAAAAGTTAAATACTAGATTTTATTATATTTGTAATCATATCTCAAATGTATTTAAAATATAAATTGAGGCTTCAAAATTTTGGGGCTTTTTATTTAGATTGGACCTCTTCTTATAAGAAATTTTAGATCTTTCTAACTCAAGTGGACCTTTTTTATTTTCTCTTTTCTTTTTTTATTTTTTATTTTTTTTTATTTTTGTGACCTGTATATATAATACTTACTATAATTCTTGGGCCTTTCTTTTAGACATTTTTTAGGGCCCAAAGTGACTTCTCTGTAGGCTTTAGCCCAAAGCCCTGATCTATAGTGCTTAAAGATCACTAAAGAGAAATTAAAAACACCTCACTTTTAATAGAAGGATGATTAAAAAAATTTGAATGATATTTTAATCACAGTTGATAGTATCTACTTTTATTCCCGCATTCCAAATAATCGAGATTATATCTATTTATAACGCCATGAAATAATAACAACCCACCTCATGATATTCAATGGAAAAGTAGAAACTTACATAACATTGACTTTTACTGATATTTTTTTTCCGTACAAAAGATGACATATGCATGTATAAATTCATAAATCATAAATCCTGAATCTATAGCATATGATGTGTATGAATACATTGGAATAAAAGGAAATACAGATAAATTTATGCCCTAATAGCTACAAATTTCCAAGACAATACTTGATTACAACAAAAGTGGATCAAATCCCAAAACAATTAAAAAGCTCGAGGTTTGTACAAAAGACAATCTACTTATTATTATAAAAGTGTGAAGAGTTTGCCATGTTTTCTATTTTTTTTTTTAAAAAAAATTCAATTTTACCCTCTCAACACTACTATATTTTCTAAAAGTCATGAAAACTCTTATATAAACCAACTATCCCTTTATTTTTAGAGTTAAACATTCAAAAATGATATATCTGCTTCTAAGAGTCCTAAATAAATATAAACAAACCGTCTCCATTCTTATAAAAAAAAATTAAAAAAAGAAAAAGTGATCTCCCTATTTTTTACATTGTTTATGATTGAAAAGTAAACAATAATTACTCTTTCTTATTTCCTATGTCTGCTTCTATACTGATATACATGATATTTACAATTGTTTATCATGGATCAAATCACTGTGAATAATTTTGGTTGAATCTTAAAATTGTATGCATTCGTTCGAATCTAGACAGAAGAAAGCACATGTGTTTTTAAAACAAAGATTTGTATTGCATCTCAAAAATTCACAGGTTATCTTCATACACTTTTATTTTTGTTTAAATTATATTTTATGAACTGTGATATTTTACATGGTACATTAATAATCAAGGTATGATGTCAAAATTCTAAACAAGAACCACTTTCGTTGGCTTTATTTTTTAAATTTGTTTTTCAGTTTTTGATTTTTCATATTTTCTCAGGTTTGGTGATTAAAGATAGTGAAATTTTTTCATATTTTATATTTAAATTATACTTTTATATAATGGTTCCAGTTTAGACCCGACCCATTTCATATTCTTAGATTCTGAATCCCATATCTTTAATTGTTGTTTATAACTTTTTACTTTGTTGTTAGATGAGTTTGGTCATTTGGGAGTTATTGGTTGTGTTTGAAACAAGCTGGAAGTTAGTTTTTCAAAAGAATTGTTGCCCAGTTTTCTTCTTGTTCACTCAAGCAGTGTTTTGGTCGCTTGTGTGGTCTCTGAGATCTCCCAGTATTTTTGCAGGTCTACAAAACTTCTGGGAGTAGGGTACCTTCTCAAGCAGTCTTTCCTACACTCGAGTAGTCTTCTACAGTCTGTAAAACTTCTAGGAGGGGGTCATTGTGTGCTCAATTGGTGTTCTTGGTTGCTCGAGCAGTGTAGACACCCCATTTTTGACTGACCTTAAGACTCAGACGTCATCGATTGAGCGCTCGGTGATTGCGTATGTTGTGCTCGTTTCGAGATTTCGGAGTTCTTGGCTGAGAGCCTCACCTCCGGACCTCGGGACTCTTTGTACTTTGACTCGGTCTGCGGAATAAGTCTTGTTTTCTCTTCCCGGAGGGAGGGAGAGGTCTTGTAGACCATCTCTCAGTGGTCGTAGACTACTTTTTGTGGTCGTAGGCCACGGTTCCCGTTTGGAGACTAGTTTTCAATTTTTGGAGCCGTCGGTCGTGCGCCTCGGTTTGGGACCGCTTAACATTCTCCGTTTGGCACGATTTTTGGAACACACCTTGTTTCCTCTATCTAGAGGGACACTGTGGTCCGAGAGACCACTTTTGTGGTCGTACGCCACTTTTTGTGCTTAACAGCCAGTTTTTGGGGCACCCGGCCGCGCGCTTTGCCCCCCGAACTCTCGTTTTGCATCCATGTTGGTTCATTTTTGGCATGAACCTTGTTTTCCTTGTTTGGGAGGTGGTACAAGGGTGGGAGACCACTTTCTCCACCAACCGGTTTTCTTGTTGGGAAGTTGGTTTTCTTGGTCTTTGGGCCACATTTGCTGGTCTCCCACCACACCACTAGCTTTCTTTCAAAGTAGAGACCACCATTTTCCTTGGCCGACCAGTTTTTATCTGGGAGACCACTTGCCCTGGTCGTCCGACCAGGTAAAGTGGTCGGCCGACCACCTTTTCCGGTCGGCCAGTTTCCTCCTGTTTTGTCTGCCTGAGTGCATGCCAGCTGGAAGGCACACACTGGATCCTTCATACACGTGTATGGAGGATTTGCAACTAAGTTTTTAGCTTCTTGGAGAAGCTTTGGCTTTGAAACTCTATAAGAGAGGCCCTCCCTCTCCTTATACCAGGTTGAAAAAATGCTCTAAGGCAAAGCTTATATCTCTCTCTTTGTCTCTATATTTTAGGCTTAGAAAGTGCTTTGTTCTTGGCCTATTGCACACCACCTCATAACCATACACCTCCACCATTGTTACTGAGTTGCTGGAGGGTTTTGAGAGGCCTCAAAAGCTGGTTTCTGGTCCCAAAGTTAGCTGTTTTTGCTGAGCTCCAAGGGTAATCACTTTTCCCTCTTTTAAGCATTATTTTGATCCTTCTTTTAGCTTCATTTACATGCTTATTTGAGCTTTGTTGTCAACTAAAAAAAGGTTCATATTTAAGTGATTTTCATGTTTGTTTAAGGCTCTTTTAGTGTTGGGGGTCATCTACCCTCTTACATGCTCTATTTAGCCTTGTTTTGTGCCATGCCATAAGGCATTCGAGCTAGTCTTTGCTTGGACTTCCTACCACTGAAATCTAGTGGATTTTTAGTGGTGAGAATGTGGCTTTGAGGGCCTAAATCAGAGAGGGGTGACCCTCTCTCTTGTTGTCTTGTTTACTAGCATTTTTGGCCTACCAAAGGAGCATATGTTTATACCATTTGGAGGCCTAGTTCAGGCACTTTTTGGTGACTTCTAGGACCTTCCCAGGCTCTGACCATGGCTGGTTTTGTCCCCTTTTGCTTGCTTCTTGCATGTGTAGAGTAATCCCTCTTATGGCTCATCAAAGTGGCATGTCTTTCTTGCATGTATTTGTCACATTTCAGTGGATTTTTGGTCATCATTTGGCATGCCATGATTCTTTTTTTGCTTGGTTTGGTAGTCCTTCACATGTTTCATATGCTTGTAGTGTAATTCATGTTCACTAGCTCAAAATGCATGTTGTTTTGGCCCTCTATTCTAGCATATTTTGGCCACACTTCAAACTGATTTTGTTCATATTTTGGGCTGCCTTAGCCCTGTCTTGAGGCCTCTTGGTCAAAAAATGCCATCCATGCATACTTGTTGTGTAATAGTATTGACTAGCTTTGAGTTTGGAGGTCCCTTGCATACAAGAGAATGTTTCTCCCTACATGATCTACCTTGATCATGATAATGCCGATATAGTTGTTGCCATTAGAGGGCTTAATGTGGCGAAAGAAAGTGATTATAAGGTCTTACTTGATAATAAATTGGGGCAGACAAAATTCAATGGCGGGTACGTTCATAATGGACTATTGAAGGCCGCTCAGTGGGTTTTGGATGCAGAATGTGAGGTTTTTAGGGAAGTAATTGAGAGGTATCCAAGCTATACTTTGACTTTTGCTGGGCATTCACTAGGGGCTGGGGTAGTAACATTGTTGACAATATTGGTGATTCAGAATCGGGAAAAATTTGGAAACATTGAGAGGAAAAGGATTAGATGCTTTGCGATTGCTCCGGCTAGGTGCATATCACTCAATCTGGCGTTGAGATATGCAGATGTCATCAATTCTGTTGTACTCCAGGTTAAGTTCATCACATATTATGAGTAGCACTTCATATATGATCAAATTATCACCATGACATGCAAGAAAGTTCTCAATTATGTACGATTTCATGTATCAATGTTTGCACCTTCTAGATTATGAACAGCAAGATAACATGTTTGTATCGATTTATATATTTCCCTGGTTAGGCATAAAGTTTTTTGAATAAATTGGGATCCATAGAAAAATAAAATGCCAAAACATCTAAAACTAAGAAAGAAAGTGTATAACCATTTCTAATGATTTCTTTTGACTTGTCTAGCTCATATGATTTTTCATAAAATTGTTTCAGTTCAGATAACTATGTAGGCTAAAGGTCTTTTGTTTGATGCTCCTTGTATGGTCCAAGGAACAAATGTTCATTTTGTTTCCATTGCAACAGTCTGAAATATTTCTATTCCATAGTAACCTGACATAAAAAAAATGTTGGAACTGAATTTTTTGTCAGCACTGAAATATATTGAAAATCACTGAAACTCATCGAAATATTATGAATCAACGAGTTGTTTCGGCATGTACTAGAAATATCCAACAAAAGATATTTCTATTTCACAGATTTTGTTCAAAGAAAAGATATGAGAATAAAGAAAAATTTTAAATTTATTAGAGAATCTGATAAAGTGTAAAGAATAATACAAGAGATAGATAGATGAATAGAAAATGAACATGGTTAAATCATTATTTTTATTTTATTTTATTGTTATTGTAGATAAATTTTATTTATTTAAATACTATCATTGTTACTTTTTTTCTCCCATACCTTCTACTACTAGATCTATCCTTTCTGATTTTTTATTAACCCTTTAAATCTTTTGTTTATGAGCTTCTAACATTTACTGACCTTTATTGAACCTTATGCTTAATCTTTTTTCGATATAGGACCTCCCACAATTTGAATGCCCTTTGGCTTTTGTTTGCCATTATTATTATTATTATTATTATTATTGATATTTTGTAAATGAATCATAAAATAGTTTTTGAAAAACAGTTATATTTGGTCTAACCTTTTGTTTAACTTTCATGAAATATATTAACAATGTATCCATCATTTTACTGACTTATTTTCCTTATTACTTTCTTCCTATCATTTTTTAATTTTCCACTTACAGTGTTGCGATATCATTTTATATTCTTTCTGCTTTGGCATGAATGTGCTTATGTTCTGATATTTGTCATTTCGATGAATCAGGATGATTTCTTACCTCGAACGACCATGGCTTTGGAAGTTGTTTACAAGTCATTTTTCTGGTAAAGATTGTAGGTCTTGGTCACCTTTATTTGTAGTTTCGGATGCATTCAGCGATCCATTGATATTTATACTGTAAAAATTTTCCTTCCCAATTATTAAACCCTCTATTTTTTGTATTAGATTTACTGAAATGGATTGCTTCCTTGCAAAGCAGGGACTGGAAAAACTTTAATGGCTGAAATGTTTTATAACATCATATTTCAGATGTCTTTCAAATAATAGTTTGATGGTGAAAACAAATTGTTTGCGATTTTCACTTTAACAGAATAGTTTTCTGTCAACCCTTTGTTTGGTTTCATTTTCAAATCTGTTTTTTTATTTTTAATAAAAAAACTAAAAACTAGTTTAGTGAAAATTTGAAAAAATGAAGAACACTCGCTGTTCTCATAAATTTTTCTCTTTTTTGGGGGTGAAAATATCTTTTTGGTATTTCTTTTTGTAAAACTAATTTCTATTTTTTTTAAAATAATAAATTAGAAAATAGATTTTGAAAACCAAACCAAACAGAGATTTCCCTTCTATTTTTAGGGATCAAACGTGACGATGTGTTTGCATGAAGTTTTTGGAAACACATTCTGCCTTGAATCCTGCTTCCAACATCGCCAAAAATCCATCCCTTAAATTTCTTTTAACAACTTATTTTAAAGCAACAAATTTGAAGCCCCAATATCCAGGTTGTAGTGAGTGCTTTTGCGTTTGTGTGTTGGGTTATATTTCACAATTGAATGGGAACTTTGAAAGCATTTGCACCACAAGTATGTGATCAAGACACTGATGAAGCTGTTTTTGCCTTTGCTTGAACAGCTTGCCGTGCATATTGTGCTTGATGTGCGTGAAGGACACATGTACGCTAGAGGATAAGATGCTTAAAGATCCTAGGAGGCTCTATGCACCTGGTCGTCTCTATCACATCATTGTGCGGAAGCCCTTCAGGTATAGTCAGATTTCAAGTTTCAAGCAAAATTTGAAGAACCGAGGTTGGTTGCATAACTGAGGTTTTTTGGGTGCCAAACCATATGAGATGGTTTGAAAATATAGGAAAAGGCTTCAAGCGTAGGAACTCAAGGGGAAGAGTGAGAGGATTATGCTGAGGTCCGTTTGTGGGGAGCAAGTGGACCCCGGTTTGTGGGGAGTAAGTGGACCCCATTTTGTTATTTTGACACTGCACAGTCTGTGAATGGAACCATATGGGACTCCAGGAGCTGTAGATAACAGATCTTGTAAAATACCTGGTTCACATTGATACAAATTCAACACTAGGTTATTCCCCATGTACCTGTTACTGAATAGATTACTACAGGAAGCATGTTCGAGTACTACCACAGCTGTAGTTTTGTAATTTTTTTTTCCTTCTAATTTTAAGGGCATAACTGCTACTTGTTTAGGTGATGGATTTCTTATATTTTCACTTAATGTTTGCAGGATTGGAAAAGCCCCCCCAATTGTGAGGACTGCAGTACCTGTGGATGGGAGGTTTGAGCACATAGTCCTGTCTTGCAACTTGATTTCTGACCATAGCATCATTTGGATAGAGAGAGAATCTCAAAATGCTCTTGATGTAAGAGGGATAGGCCATCATGTCATTGGCGCATCAAATGCAGTAAACTGTTTTGAAGACCTTGAGACGCACTAAATGGGACAGGGGGTTGGTTTGCTCTGATGAATAAGGAGAAAGAAATACAAAGTGAGTTGTTTCAAATCTTAAACATGAATAAACTTGAATTTAAAAGATAAATTGTAGTTACAAAAATGGCTGCTCTGATGCTGGATCCTAGTCATATTAGATCTCAAAGAATGATACTCTAATTATCCATGGCCCCAAGGGAGCTGTGGGAAGAAAAATAACCCTCTTTTAACTGAGTACATTTAAATGAAGAAGTCGTAAGGACATGTTACACTGCAGGTGAAGTGGGCCAACATATGATGTACCAGGCTCATTAATCAAGCCTGCTACACTTGCAGGCTCTAAAAACTGCACTTATTTTAGTCTGGAAGATAAGATTGGTTCTTAGCCTATAGTGCAGCTAGCTGCACAGCTAAATAAGAATCGCCAAACTGCTATATGAAGCCCATCAAAAGCTGATTTGTGAGACACCAAAACTCATGTAGTGGCGACTGTCTGCACACCCTCAACCTCAAGAGTGCTGCCTTGAGCCTTCATTGATCTCCAAACTCACCTCACTATCCTCTCATTCCTGGCCTTCTTCAGTATCCTGAACTTGGTAGATTTCAAATATAAGAGCTTGAATAAGTTTGGTATTGTTAGAAATGGGAAAAAAAACTATATGTTTTTTAGTAAACAGATATAACATCCATTTTTACTTCGTAGACTATGCTTTAGTAATTTGTAGATTTTCATTTTTCAATTTTTTTATGACTTTAAATGTGTAGTATGATAGGCATAATTCATGTATTTGTTGTTGGTTCTCAGGGTTGGAGGCTTCCAGATATGATGTTTGCAACCAAGTGTAGTTTATCTGATGCATGCAACACTATAGCCAAACAACTCGAGAATGTTTACTCATCAATTGCGGCAAGTTTTTCTTCTTACTTCTTTTACTACATATGTTTGATATTCATGTTGTTTGTGTTGATATTGGTGCACCGCATTGTGATGTGAAGTTTGAGCTCAGTTCATTCTAAGATCTTTAAGTCCTTCACAAAAGGATAGTTTTTCCTTCAAACATGGAAAGCACCTTGGACCCTCTACTTAAGGTAGAGGTTTTATTGATGTTATAATTACAGATGCATTACTAGATTGAGATATGCTAAACAAAGACATGAAATAAGTTAGTTTGCTCTTAATCAAGGTAAGATTGTTTGTAAATGCTTCCTTTTTTACCCAAGCTAAGATTAGCTCTAATATCACCCATTTCTATCTTCTTGACTCCTTTCCCTTCCAAACATGATACATAGTACCAGCAAGGGTCAACCTGTAAACATAATCTGTAATAGCCTTACCTCCACACTCTTCAGCAAAAGTCAGGCATTCTTCTACCAGGAAGAATTCTCCTCAAAAGAACAGTCCAAGTATATGCTGAAAAATATTAACAAAAAAGTAAATGATCGTGATCAAACCCATTGCACAATACACACTTGTTTTCAGAAACAATCCCCCACTTAAACATTCTATCCATTGTAGCCAGTCCTCACTGAACAGCAACCCATTACACAAAGCTCCACTTAGGAACATTTTGAGGCAACCATGCCAATTTATGTCAAGGGACGATAGGGTATAGTGTTTGAATTGCTTGCCAAGCTATTCACCATTACTAGAGGGTAGCCAAAACACGGAGTCAGGCCTATTAGGATTCAATACAAAGCTAGCAGGGTATTAGCTTCAATCTCAGAACAGTAACCAATTGCACAAATCTCCACTTAGCAACATTTTGAGGAAACCATGCCAATTTATGTCAAGGGACGATAGGGAATACCATTTGAATTGCTTGCCAAGCTGAAGCCACAGTATATTCGCCATTACTAGAGGGTAGCCAAAACACTGAGTCAGGCCTATTAGGATTCGATACGAAGCTAGTAGGGGTATTAGCTTTAATCTCAGTAATAACCACTCTTCTACCTCTAGGCCACTTCCAATTCCCAAAATTAATGATAAGAGGAAACTCTGCTATTCACAGCCATGCCCATATGAAAAGCAACCCTTTCCCCATATTTCTTATTCAAAGGACCCAAGGGATGCCAATTATCAAATCGCGGAAATGTAACAGTCCCATCACCAATGATATATTGATCAAAGGTTGCCCCACAGCTCTTAGTTCAAAAAACTTCCTGACAGTCCAAGATGCCTCAGTAGGAAGACACTTACCCTTAATTACACAAGTATGGACCCACTTAACCCACAAAGAATCAGCTTTCTTACTTAGAGCCCACAAAGGTTGTCTTAGCATAGTGGCCTTATTCCACTCTCTCAAATTTCTGAATCCCAAGCCCTCTTCAGCCTTTGGTGCACAGATATGCATCCACTTCACTTTTGCATTGTAGTACCTAAACTCACTCCCTGTCCACAAATATGCATCCACTAGAGAGAAGTTTGTTTTATCTCTATTATTATTTTTAAGGAAAACTCGTCAGATGTATTCATTCATATCATATCTGGTAGGTAGGGTAGCAGAATGGATGAATATGCTTTCCCTTGATGTCTTGGGAAAGAGAACGGAAAGGAGGCACAAATGTTATGCCACCTTATTTATGTGAATTGCAAATTTATATTTTTTTTTGGTACACGTTAATCTTTTGTGTGTGATTACTTAGATTAGGGGCCTTGATCATCAGTGCTAATTGAATGTCTGCTCAAGCTGCTCATCTACAACCCAAAGTTTAATCTAAAGCTAAGACCATCAGAATCATTCATGTTTTAATTAATCTGTGGTATTATTCGTTAAAATAAACTTTACCAACTTTATTAAAAAATCATATATAAAAGTGAACTGAATCAATGGAGCTTTGATAGTTAACTATGCCTGTATTTGTTATGGTTGTTAGCTTATTAATCATCGTGTACTGAAATTTGCAGGTACAGCAATAGGTACAGTTTTATTATGCCAGGTAGTTGTCTCAATACGATGTACATGTTTATAGGATTTAATTGATTTTTGCAAAGATACGGGTTTGCAATCCAGTGTTGCTACCACTATCATGCTTCTCTGATAAATTTTCCAATTCTGTTTCTTTATTAAGTGCCTTACATCACTACTGCTTTGATGGATGCGAAGCGTGGCACGGAAGGGCGCAAGGATTTTTTGATTGGCTATCAAGGCAACTTAGTGGATTAAGCAATTTTCCTGATGCTGTAAATCTGAATTATGTATTGTTTCAATTTGTTATGCTAGATAGATGTGACTTGTGAATGAAAACTTAGAATAGTAATTGTATTGTGTCGAATGTTAATGAATTATGTATTGTGTCGAATGTTAATGATTCAGTTAATTGAAGGATGCTTTAAAATTATAAGTTTATTATGGATTGAATGAATTATTAGGAATTACAGGTGTATTGTTTTCTTGCTTTGGCGACCAATTTATTAGTCGCGACAAATAAAATTATTTTTTTTCGCAAAAAATGACAATTGCCGACCAAGAGTCTTGGTCGCAAAAAAATACATCTATTGCCGATCAAAACAGTTTTTGGTCGTGGAAACTCACTTTTGCCGACCAAAAGTTTTGGTCGCGAAAAAGTAACAAATGGCGACCAAAACTTTTTTGGTCGTGGAATGTCATAATTGACGACCAAACTTTTTGGTCGCGGAATGTCACGATTGGCGACCAAAATTTTTTGGTCGCAGAATGTCACGATTGGCGACCAAAATTTTTGGTCGCGGAATGTCACAATTGGCGACCAAACTTTTGGTCGTTGAATGTGATAATTGCGACCAAACTTTTTGGTCGGGAAAATATCACTTTTCGCGACCAAAGTGTTTTGGCGACAAAATAAATAGTCGCGGTAATTAAATATTTAGCGACCAAAAATTTAGTCGCGAAATTCAACTTTTGCCGACCAACCACAATTTTGGTCGCGAATTACTTTTGCCGACCCTCAATTGGCGACCAAAGTAGCGACCAAAAATTGGTCGCGGATAACTTTTGCGACCAAAAATTGACTTTTAGCGACCAATTTTTTTGTTGCCAAAAGTGTTAATTCTTGTAGTGTATATAGAGTACAATGACCAAGGAATTTCATAACAAAATACTATAAATAATTATATTTTTCCTGGAAAAAAATTGTGCTTAACAGTATTTTTATCATGAATTTTATTTATTAATAATAAAGACAAATTTAACTATTAATGATTTTATGTGAATTTACAATAATTATCAATCTTTATATAGGCTTAACTGCATAAAAAATACATGTATGCCTTCCCCAATTTATGACATATGAATCTACAATATTTCTGAAACTGTTAGGGATCAGCCCAAAAACTTACTACACAAGTTCACAAAGCAAACGGAATTTTAAATTTTGAAAACCATGAGTGTAAAATCTAAAAGCATACCATTTCTGCTGGGAGGTTGAGGTCGGAAGACTTGTAACAGTCAAGTCAATCCCTGGATTCACATTTGGATTGTTGTTCAGATACTCCTCAAACTTGGTTTGATTTTCCCTTGCTAATGTCAAATCTGTGATCTGGAAGATAGGAAGGCCAAGTTTGTTTAGTTCCTATTTTCGGGATTCATTTTTCAGAAAATTAAAATATTTTGTTTTTCGTATTTTTTTTGTTTTACTAATTTTTTAATAGTCTAAGCAATTTTTTTAATTTTGAAATACACCTAACATAAATATACTTAAAAAGTATAATATTGTGTGAAAAAAATCTTTAGAAATTCACTAAATACCAAAAATACAAAATAAATATGAGAATTCAATACATTTTTCATATTCTTGTATATTTATTAAAATTTTAAAATATTTTTTTACAAATATTTAACTTTTTAAATACATCTAAGTAAGGTGCATCTAAAAAAGTAAATAATTGTTTACATTTTAAAAATATTCACTAAAAATAAAAAAATATGAAAAACTAAAGATCTCAATTTTTTAAAAATTGAAACTAAACACACTAAGTATTCCAAAGCTTAGTTGGCACGAAGTGGGGACTGTGGCGGGGGCGGGAGAGCGAGGGCATATAGAAGTTTCTAAGGTTGAAAGCACCTATATATATATGCTACCTATAAATATATTTTAATAATTTTTTTTTCTACTTAGTTGTAAAATATGTGTTAAAATATGAAAAAAAAATAATATTTGAGATTGATGTCAAAATACAAATTGTTTTTATCAAGTATAAATAAATATGATGTATATAGAAAGTATTTATATAAGTTTAAGTTGTTTTTCTTTTGTTTCTCTGAGATTTGTATGTCTAAGTGTTTCTAACTGTTGGGAGCGCGTTTCTTACTTGAAAGAACATAAACTTGTTTCTCAGTAAAAAAAAGTCACCTAAATAGGAGTTTCATGCTACTATAGATACCTCATTTTAATCGGCCCTAAGACTCAGACGCTTTCTTTTAGTTACCCGATGATGAAAAAAAGAATGTGTTTCTCACAACATCCACAGTAAGAAAGATGGAATTTGTGCCTGTTTCGGCCAAGTGTTTCAGAATTGTTCAAAACTCTCTTTTGAAACTTTTACACTTTGATCCAAATATTTCCGTAATGTTTCAAAACTCATTTTTAAGTTTAAAAAAAGAAATGTTTTATGAGGAAATTGAGTAAAGAACAACAATGAAATAGGAGGAAATGATGATAATTCTGTTGAAAATATCTTGTTGTGTGCAAAATAGTCAAGCCAAAGCCATTATTTTGGCCATCTAGCAAATTAATTGACCGGCTTACCAACAGTTGGCCGGCTGGCTAATTGTCCAGAAACGGGGCAGTTTCGGTAGAATTCTTATTTAATGCGTGTGGACATGCCACCTTAGATATTTCTGAATATTTCGGCATGAATTGTGTTCCACTCACCCTCCACTATCAAAAGGTGCCTCTTCAAAAAAGAAGTAAGCTAAAGCAAGGGTCAAGTGCTTTATCATTGTCACCCCATGATCCATTGTCTTTCACCTTGTCTCCTACCATCTTCTCCATTAATTCTTCCACATTGTCTTTAAC